CGGGGCGGGCTGGGTAAGCACAGGTCTAGGGGTCTTTGCTTTGGCCTAGGACCTAGGGGAATGCTATTAATAAAAATATTGATTCTTGATAGCCACACCTGTGTGGGCGCTTTGGCCCTATTTTTTCTTTCCAATAGCTTCACTAAATACTATTAGTACCCTGGTGTTACAGGTGAGGAAACTGAGGTGAGGCCTAGCGTGATGGGCCACCCAATGCGTAAGTGGTAGAGCCAGAACTGAAGTCGGCAGCGTGGTTCTAGAACTTTCTTCAGTTTTTCACCAGTGATAATCCATCCAAGTGTGCCAAAGAACCGATTGGGGAGCTTACAAGATGCCTTAGGACGAGCTTTGCTGGATACTGCAAGGCTATCTCCTGGAGCCAGAGCTGGAGTGCTGACTGGGAGGCTGGAGAGGTAGATTGAAGCACACGGCCCTTTGACTTTGAATTCACTAAATATCTATGGACCACTTGCACTTCTGAACCTGTGGTAGGTGCTGGGGGAGAGTTTGAACAGGACAGTCCTGGGTTCCATATTTTTTTTTTAATGTTTTATTGATTTCAGAGAGAGGAAGGGAAAGGGAAAGAGAAAAACATCAATGATGAGAGAGTCGTTGATTGGCTGGCAACCAGGCATGTGCCTTGACCAGAATTGAACCTTGATCTCCTAGTTCATGAGTCGACACTCAACCACTGAGCCATGCTGGCCTAGTGCTACATTTTAAATTTTGGACTTGTAAGTGTTGTGAGCATCAGAGATAAGGTTTATAGAGAGCAGGAGAGGAAGCTGGGAGGACGGAAGCAGTGGGCAGGCAGAGATGTCCAGCAGGACTCAAGTGATGGCCGGGAGTAGAGAAGTGGAGAGAGCTGGGAAGGTACAAAATCCCTGAAGTGAAGGTGAAAAGGGTATGAAGGTTGGCTCCCAGATTTCTGACTTGCACAAATGAGTGGATGGTAGTTCCTACTGAGGACAAAAAGAATGGAATTGGGCAGATGGGGGACTCAAGAGCCCCATTCCTTTCCCAGCTGTTAGCCAGCAGAATACTGCTGGGGTCATAGTGACAAGGTGCTCCTCTTAGACAAGCAGAGGGAGAAGAGGTCACAGTGGGGGCTTGTTTTATTATGGAGGTCACTCTGAGTCTGAGGTGCTTGTGGACACTCCAGGACATAGTTGGATAAGCAATTCTGGACATAGATCGAGGGGGGAAGTTGTGAAGTTGTGGGACGCTGATGTGTAACTCAAGACATCAGGGAAAAGTGATTTTGGAAATAAAGGACTGTACAAATCACAGATGGATATGAACATAAATATTATTATTTTCCTCCTATCATCCTTCTGGCCTTCTAGCTTGCCCTCTCCTTCCTCAAGGCCAAAATTCTCAGAGCCAGCCACACACATATAATTAGGATGCACTTGGGTGTTTACTGGGAATGAGGCTTCAGAGGCCCGGCCTGGGTCACTCACACTTTTTTAGTGATGCTTTTGGGGGTGGCAAGCTCATACAGGCGAGGGGATGCCCGAGCCGCCAGGGAAGCCCGGGAAATATAGTAAGGGTCATAGCCCTCGTTAAGGTCCTTTCGTACTTTGGGCTTGGCCAGGGAGATGATCCGGGGACTGGCCACTGCCTTCTTGGTGACTTCCAGCACCTCCCAGCGAGGATCTCGGTCAGGAACACACTTCTCTGACTGGGCCTTGGGCACTAGAGGGGGCAGGAGAGAGTGACAGCATCAGGCACTCGCCCTACAGAAATCAACCTGCAGGGTCAAAATTCCCAAGTTCAAAGGCCTCTCCAGTGATGAAGGAATGGAAAAACACAACATGTCCCATCCACACGGTGGAATATTACTCAGCCATGAGAAGGAGTGAAGCACTGACATAAGCTACAATGTGGATGAACCTTGAACACATGATGCTCAGTGAGAGAAGCCAGACACTAAAGGTCATACCGTGTGTGATTCCATTTATGTAAAATCTCCAAAACAGGCAAATCCATAAAGATAGGAAGTAGGTTAGTGGGTTGGCCAGGGGCTGGGGACGGTATGGAGAGTGACTGCTGATAGTCAGGGGGTTTCTCTTTGGGGTGATGAAAATATTCTAAAATTTATTGTCATGATGGGTACACAACTCTGTGAGTGTACTAAAAAAGCGTTGAATTGTACACTTTATTTTTTATGGATGTATAATGAATTTTACACTTGAAAAGGATGAATTGTAAAGAAAAAAATATTTCAAATGGCCACAGCCTGGACAGGGGGACTCAGGGGGGCTAGCTAATGGTGTCCTGTGGGCTCTCCTCCCTCCTCTGATGTCACTGTGGGGAGAATCTGCAAGCGACGGCTATGGGAGGCATCTCCCGTTGGCTGGTCCTGCAGGCCTGTTGCGTGGACCCAGGGGCAGCTCCTGGGTGCACAGGACCTTTTAGGATTTAGCCTCCCACCTCATTCTGGACTCCTGCCCTCGCTGCCCAACACAACTACAGTTTCAGCCAGGCCCTCTCAGGAGTGCTGGCAATATGGCTCCGACCAGCCACATGTAGCAGTGCCTGATATGGGCTGGAGTTTTCTTCTATTTAATTTTAATGAAATTAATTAAATTATTTAGATCAACTGATTGATTGATTTTCATTGAAGTATCCACACGTGGCCAGGGGCTGCTGTCATGGACAGATAGCTCTCAGGAGCAGAGACCAGTGGCTCAGCCAGGCTCCCTCCTCACCACCTCTCTGCCACCCCCTCCTTTATAGTGAGCCGCAGTGCACGTATAGCCTGCTTAGAGACTAGAAGGGAGGTGAGCACCACTGGTCACTGGATTAGCCTTCAGTGTCTGGGAGCTTCAGGATCCTTGGCTCTGAGGAGTGCTATAGCCTCCTTTCTAAACCCCTTTGTTTAGAGCCTCTGTGCAAATGGAAAAGGCCATCCCCCACCCCATTCTTAGAAGACAGGCCCTAGCTTGGTGGAGGGGCCCTTGATGAAAGAGAATGGGGCTCCTTCCACCAAGCAGACATAAGCCCACACAGGCCCGCTGCTGGGCAAGGCCGTCGAGGCTGTACCAGAACTTTGCAGGGCAGATGACTATTCCTTCCAAAGGGAAGGGGGCCAAGCAGTTGGGCCTCAGTGGCCCCTTAGGGGTCTGGGAAGACCATGCCCAGAACCAGACTTCTCTGAACTCCTCTGTGAGAATTCTGGAGCATTTCCATTGTGGTAATATCTGGGCTTTTAAACTCCGTTGACTGAGTCTACTACCACACAGCACACGTGAACACACAAAGAAACATGGACTCACACCCACCCACATAGTTCATGCTCTTCATTTGTCATCATTTCACTTTTTTAAATGCTGGTCACACCCATTAGTGGGTGGAAGTTCAATGTTTGAAAAGCACAACCTGACATTCTTATGCACACACACTTGGATGTGTATTTACAGGTATATCTGAAACATGGATCAATATATAGACAAGTGTGTATGCACAAATGTGCATATATTTATATTCCAAGTATATGTGAGAGAGAGAGAAACAGAATGGTCTTATGAAGCAGTGCATATGTAGTCATATGTTTTCATTCATTTCACCAGTCATTAAGGGAATGGATAAATGAACGAATTAAACAAACAAAAGCTCCTGTAAGCAAAGTTAAAGGAAAGAGATGGACTGGGGAGAAGTTATTTTGCAAAGTGCTCAACAAAGTATTAGTGAGCATCTTATATGAAAAGTTGCTCCAAATCAAGAACCAAAAACATAGAAAACTGGGGAAATGATAGAGCAGAGTAAACCAAAATGGCCACTCGTGCTCTCTGGTGGTAAAGTGCCCAGAGCAGGGGACGCACAGGATCTCCAAAGCCTCTCACATTGCAGTCCTGGCATATAACGGCCACAAAGGATAAACAGGCACATAAATATATTGTAAAGATATATGTTAGAACGTGACAAGTGCTACAGAAAAAGAGCATAGAGAGCAGCCAAGGTGCACACAGATGTCCAGAGGTGGACACAGCTGATGGGTTAAGCAGGGTGCTCAGAGGGGCCTCACTGAGAGGACAGATTGGAGCTCCGCCCCATGGGAGACAGAGAAGTGAGCCATGCAGGTGTCTGTGGTCAGTGTTCCAGGCAGCAGGAGAGGAACCAGGCGTGGGAGGGGGGCAGGGAACAGATCACAAGGGCCTGTGGGCCACACGGTGAGACAGGAGCCCTGAGAGGGTCATGAGCAGGGAAGGGTGGAATCCAACTTAAATTCAGCAAGACCTCTGTGGCTGCCACATAGGAAATGGGCAAGGGTGGCACCGGGGATAAGGGTGGAGGCGACTGCTTTGGTCCAGGGACGAATGAAGGGGCCATGAGGAGGGCAGGGGAGCTGTGGGCAGGTTCCTGATGTGCTCAGAAGGCCAAGACCACAGGAACCCTCAGTGCACTGGATGTGGAGTGTGACAGGAGGGGCCTGGCAGGGAGAGCACTTTTAGCATGCACACTCACAGGCACACACACGCGACTACATGCATTTGAGTCTCTGCGTGTAACCCATGCTATACCCAGAAGGAAACACACCAAACTGCATTATCTTTGTGTGGGATTCCTTTCTTCTTTAGGCTCTCCTGCATTTTCCCAATTCTCTACCGCTAGTACACATTACTGTTGTCATGGAAAGACCGGTTATTTCATTTGTTTTAAAGGACAGAAGGGAATCAGGCCAACACCACTTCAGAGCTGCCCTGCGTCGGTTGAGCATTGTCCCACACACTGAATGCTTGCGGGTTTGATTCCTAGTCCGGGCGCACACCTAGGTTGCAGGTTCAATCCCCAGTTAGGGCGTGTCCTGGAAGGAACCAATCGATGTTTCTCTTCCTCCCTCCCTCCCTCCCTCCCACTCTCTCTAAGCATGTCCTTGGGTGAGAATTTTTTTAAAAGCTGCCCTTCGCCTCAGCTTGGCTCCCTCATCTTGGCCCTGTCCCCCCAACTTTCTCTTCTGCACCCATTTGTCCTGCTAGCAGACCCACTCAGACAGCACTCAGCTTCAGGACCATGGCCCCTTCTAACTTCTGCCTCTCTTCCCCCGGGGAGCCTGCACAGTATGACTTGTCCACAGGAATCTGACAACTGGTCTGCAGCTAAGGGAGGAGACAAAGGAAGAGGGAAGCACAAATCTGGCAGAAGCAGGCCTATGTCCAGTGGGGATGGACACAAGGACCTACTTACTGGCCAAGTGAAGGAGCCGGTTATAGTCTGATATGTGTGGCTTGGGTTTTGGCACAGGGTCCCATTCTTCCAACAGGGTGGCTGGAGTCCTGGGCTTTGCCAGCTGGAGGATCCTTGAACTAGGGATGGCCTTCTGGGCTGCCCTGGACACCTTGGACACCTGGAAGCAGAATGAGAAGGGAAAGAGTGAAACAGTCCATCATTCCTCTGAGGCCCCTGGCTCAAAAAAACCCATAAGCAACACCAAGAGACAGATGACTAACTGGAAAGAAATTAGTTTGCAATGTGCTCAGCAAAAGGCTTAGTAGCTATCATAGGTAAAGAGCTCCTCTAAATCAATAACCAAAAAAAAATCCATAAGGGACTAGGCTATTCATACAGGACAGTAAACCTACGTGGTCAATAATCCTCTCTGTTGACCAAGGAAATTAAATTAAAACAACAAAATATCACTGCATGCAAACAAATGTGGCAAAAATGAAAAAGTCTGACATTGTCAAGCCCTGGTAAGAATGTGGGAGGAGAGACATCCTCATGCATTGCTGGTGGGAGAGTAAATTAGTGCAAGCACTTTGGAGAACAGTTTGTCCATCTCAGATGAAACTGAGCAGGTGCCCACTTGATGGCTGCCATGTAGAGAAATGTCTAGAAGGCACAAGGACTTGAGCACAGTGGTATTCACTGCAGATGGAAGCAACCTAGTTGTCCATCAATAGGGGACTGGAAAAACTAACTATGGTATATTCGTAGGATAGGATGTGACCCAGCAGTTAAAATGTTGCTTCTATATAAATCAGCATGACAAGCTCTAGAAAAAATACTGAGGGGAAAAGCAAGAAGTAAGATGCCATATATGTATATTGGGCCTGGTTTATGGGTCTGTGTATGTAATAAAGTATAGAATGATGAAAATAAGACAGCTGGTCAAAGTCATGCATCTATTGCTCTCGAGTCTGTTTCCACTTGTCTGTCTAGGCCCCTGATCCCAGCCCACTGAGGGGAGGCAGTGCCTCTACCACTGAGGTGGGGGGGGGGGTCTCAGG